TGCAAAAACGGGTCTTCGGAGTCTGAAGGCATTCGCCGGATCGATTGTCCGGAGCACGTGGGTGCCTCCGGGAATGGATTACACAGCCTCTTTTCCAACCTTGCTCCCTTCCATTGCGTTGGGTCGATTCGGATTCCAAACTTCGTGCGTTGAATGGATGTCGATGGTGCCTTTGGTATATGGACCGGGAAGCACTTATCGCCACGAATCCATATCTACATATGCCGGATGACGACCCAGGTCCTCGTAGAAGACCTGCCTCGTTAATCGCTGTCAAGTGATGGTGCACAGGCCATTTGGAGGAAAAAAGATACGGCGATTGTATGGGAACGATAATTCTGGTAAGAAATACTAGTGCCTTCCACGCGTACTGCGAGGCTCGGCTAACAATGTATTGTTATTTTTATAGGATAAAATTCAAGACGAATCGAGATACAAAAACGCGATTACGACTAGCATAATTGCGGCCGACGTGTCGAAGCTTCGCAAAAGGCCTCGAGCGCTTGATATATAGGCCACATCATGCTTGAGCCAGAGCTCTGGTTACTCTTTTTGCAGTGCGTAGTTGTCCGTACCATGGTTGAACATACAATGCTAAAGACATTTGTAATTAGAGTTGCTGGTTGTGACGTTTCGACGATCTAACGAGATCTATATTGAGAAACGCCGGACGCGGAGCTCGGGGGAGTGGATCCATCACGGACTATTAAGTCATCAAAACCAGTACCAACGTTTCGTTTTCCTCGTCCACTATCCTGGGTTTTCTTCAACCTCTATATTACTTCATGCGTGGCCTCAACTTGCTCCTCCCTCCCCATCTTCATGGATACGCACAGCTCTTGCGCTTCCTCACCAGCTCATCGCGATACATTTGAAAACTCCCTCGGCCAGGAACAGGATCCACATCGTACGGTATCTGGCGTTACACTAGAACCACCAGAGGCAGAGGAGAAAGTGCAAGGCAGAAACAGAGACAACAGGGCTGGGGGAACCTGGAGAGGACGTTTAGAACGTGCTACACGTACAGTGTTCCATCATGTGAAGAAACACACTGGTGTGGGTTTGGTGTGTGCTGTCGCATACTTTGACCCGTACGCTCAACCTATTCTGCTTCTTTTTTCTCTTACTCACACTTTGTATCTCAGGGGTAACTGGGGAGTCGATTTACAGGCCGGTTCGCAATATGGCTATAGACTTTTATTCGTAGTTTTGCTCGCAGGGTTAATCGCGGTGTTTTTTCAAGTGTTGGCCAGTAGGTTGGGGTGTGTGACTGGACTGGGTGCGTTGAATGTTCCTAACCATCCCTACAACCCCGTTCTTTTCAAACTCTGCCGTGTTTTCATACCATTCAAAACGTCAGACGTTCTCGCCCATACCCATTCGCCTAGCAATCACTCAATGCACCTCTGCAATTTTATCGAGATTTGCCGTAACTGGTAACTGACTTATCATTCATTTCACTTTCCCACAATTCATCAGACCTTGCATCTCATTGCCGGTTACTTCTACACGACCGACCCAAGCATACGTCCCTATACCGCTGGTTAGGTCTATATCCACTCTATGTCCTCTCCGAGACCGCTATCATTGCTACCGACCTCGCTGAACTTCTTGGATCCGCAATCGCATTATGCCTGCTTTTCCCAAAGCTAGAACTTTGGCATGGAGTGTTGATTACCGCTTTCGATGTCGTATTGATCCTGGCGCTGGGTGACCCTTTGGGTGGGAGACCTGTGAAGACATTCGAATTGGTCATCGCAGGACTGGTGAGGTACATGTCTTGACACATTTTCAGGTTGACTAACCCGGCTGCGCACGTAGGTTCTCGCAGTTCTCGTCTGCATGGGCATTATCATCGCCAAAATTGACGTTGACTGGGGCGACGCCTTTGAGGGATATTTGCCCTCCAAGTACATCGTTCCTAATGGCGCATTGTATACTTGTGAGTTCAATTTATCACTTCATTGAATTGAAAGTCAGTTCAAACCATATATGGACCTATCTCTACAGCTGTTGGAATTCTTGGCGCAACAGTGATGCCCCATAGCCTGTTCCTCGGTTCTGCCCTCGCTACTCAGGACCGCATCTCTCCACCTCTATACGAGGAATCTGAGCCCGCGCACGCGGGTAGACCTTCAGTCTCCTCGCCCAAAAGTGTTCTTGCTAGTCTTCGGACAAATGTTGTTAATGCTTTTCGGACACCTCCGCCCAGTCAGTTTACTACCGAAGCGAAGACCCATTCCGAAAGGGACAATAACTCCCTGGCTTTTGTGAAGGGCCATCTATACCATGGAATCGTGGACGTGGCTTTCAGCTTGTTGGGATTTGCGGTGGTTATCAACAGCGCGTTGGTTTCTTCTCTTCTCTCTATATTTATAGGCTCATTCTCGCTCTAGAATCCTTATACTGTCTAGTGCGGTCTTCTTTTACGGAGATGGCCCCGGAGCGCATGACATGGATTCTGGGAAGCAGGCGGGGTTGTTCGATGCATATGACTTGATCAAGGAAACTATTGGGCAGGGTGCTGCTACCTTATTTGCTATCGCACTGTTGGCTGCTGGCCAGGTGAGTTTGATCGTGGTGATAGAGTTTCATCCACTGATGAGATCCAATCCCAGAGTTCATCGATAATTGCTACCGTAGCAGGACAAGCTGTGTCAGAAGGGTTCTTACGATGGCGCACCTCGGTGTGTTCATTCCGCATTCCAATCCTTTTGTGCAGTCACTGACATCGATACCTCTGATCAACAGGCTGTCGTACGTCGCCTCCTCACACGTCTCCTCGCCATTATACCCTCTATGGCAGTCGCTGTCGCTATCGGAAGGGAAGGAATCGACACACTGCTGGTCGCTTCACAAGTCGTCCTCTCCGTAGTGCTACCCTTTATTTCCTTCCCGTTGATATACCTAACGTCAAGGAAAGACGTTATGGCCGTCAAGGTACCGCTCTCTCGGCCGTCGTTAGGTGTCATTCCTTCTGCGACATCATCGGCCTCATCGTCATCGTCAACTACCTTGCGCGCCAAGGAAGGGGACGACATCGAGGTTGCAAAAGCACCCGAGGAAATCCCCGCGGCTGCAGTGCAAGAGGTCGAAGACGAAGGCCCGATGTACTTCAACAACGGCATCATAACCATATGCATTGGAATGATAATCTGGGTTGTCGTCGTAGCAGCAAATGTGTATCTGCTTGTTACCCTGGTGATGGGCAAAGGTGATGGATGAGAGGTACAGGATGCCATTACTTGATTTTCTTGCTCTGTTGCGTAGTTGGACAAACTACTACAATCCATGGCTGCCACACAGGGGTATTTGAGTACCGAGGTAGTCCTTCTCGTGGCATCGACCGGTGGTCCTCTGGCTCGTATATGTATCTTGTATTGATTGTTCTCTGTATTGCATAGATATGGTTCCTTCTGTAATTGTAACGCAGCCTTTGGTAACCAATTTCGCCTCATCTTCAGACCGTGCAATGCGGCTTGATACTGCGAAGTCTAGTGTGTTCTGGTTTCTTGTTCCTATATCGGATACTAATCGCTCTCTTTTCTAGGTGTTGACGATTCGACGTCAACGTCCCCTGTCGACATAATCGGGCCTGTCACCAACGACATCGGTGGACATGTTGTAAACTCTACACGGCTACTCGTGCTTCCACTAGGTTGAGCCGCGCGGGTACGACGACTGTCATAGTCCCTTCCCTTGGCAACTCGTACAATAATTAGCAGTAATGCGATACCCTGCCAATGCCCCAGTCGACCCGTGAGTAATGATTCGCATTTAGCAGAGAGGAATTTACAAACCTGAATACCCGAATACCCCAACAAAATCAAGTTCTGTACGTCACTATGAAATCCAAACGCAAAAACATACACGACGTCAAACACAAAGTACAACGCGGCACTCTCAATGAGCATGGCAGTCATGTTAGTGTACATGGCTGCGTATTCTTGCCCCATAACCTGGGATATGCATTTTCGTATGCTGATCAGTCGGAGAGTGACGAGAAATGTGTAGATTATGTTGAATGCGCAGGAGACGATGAGGAAAGCAAGCTGTACTCGGATGTTGAAGAACACCACTTCCTTGTTCACGTACACCATAACTGCTGTTGAAAGACCTTGGAAACGTGTTGAGGGGTTACGCGAAAAGGGTAAATAGAGATCGTACCGATAATGGTGCCATACGCAGCGCTCATGAGGACAACAACCCACGGATTGAAGTTCCAGATGATAAAACAACGATATAGGAGTAGAAAATCCATCATCCAGATTTGAACGAAACTCCTGGCGAATGAAATAGGTGAGAATGAACATTCGATGAAAGACGTAGTGTACAGCGACACGCACGTAACCACCGCCATACGATTATACCAGTAATCAAACTCGTTCATGATCAACTCTTCCGGGGATTTGTGTGCTCTCAAATTGATCCAAATATCTTCCGTATACCGTGCATTTGCAGCGGTGGTCATCGCAAAGAGTATGAAAGTGGTGATAACGTAGGACAAGAGAATGTACGATGTCGTGTTTCCCAGCGCTCGTCCAGACTTTGAACGATTGTTTCGGTAAAGAGAAATGCATGCTTCTATCGTCAGAACAAAATAGATTCCTATTTCGAAGGATCAGTAAACAAAGGCACTTAGAATGGTAAAGATTCGATCGTACCAAAGATGAATGCAGCCAGAATCATTCCTGACAAGCGCGAGCGCTCTAGCCACAGATCTGAGGCGGAGGATTTGTCCATTGACGCCATTCAGTAGTATTTGAGGGTACAAAAAAGCTGACCGCTCCATTATATTCATGAGTTGGAAAAATCCCCTGAATCACTCAGTGTAATCGGACCCTGATCGAGATCGATCACTACTCAGTCGTTGATCAGTCGCGTCAAGCCAGGTCAGGCCGCGACTCTCTCTTTTTGGTAGACGTAGAGGGCTTTCGCACTTCGCTACCTTGTCTCCGCATCAATATGAAAGCGACACTTGGCCATGAAAAACATAGCTTTGCATTAAGAGGGAATCGAACCCCCGGCGGGTCGAGTGCTTACAGAAGTCCAATGGCAACGACCCAGGTTACCACTACCCCATTAATGCCGGTACTCTGGAAGGTTTGAGAGATAACATATTCCGAGTCCAATTAACGCAAGAGTCGGAAGTACTACACATATGGCGAGGACATCAAATAAGATAAAGCACCACTAGAATCACAACAGCGACAAGAAACGCCATCATCTACAAATTATACACGAACCAAGCACTTCTATCACCAAGACCTGGCTCTTCCTCCTCCTTACTCATCCTACTCCTGATCTCCGCCTTCTTCTTGTTCTGACTGCTCAGATATAACAAATTAGATGCCGAACCCGCTGCCTGACATAACGATAGCACCAACAACGTAATCGTTGCAGTGGTGTACCTCGGAGGTGCACTCAAACTTCCAAGAAGCCACGTTGCGAGTATACCCCCAGAATTGGTCATAATGAAACCAATGGCGATAGCTGTAGCTCTCCTAGTCTGAGGACTGGCGTTATTTGAGCCCCATGCAGACAATGTAGGTGCAGCGGTGTAGGTTCCGGGTATTGAAAGGAAGAGGGAACCGTATTGGACATGAGTGTTTTTGGAGCCAAGGAACATGGCGAAGCCAATGACGCAGAGGAGAGCGGAGAGTGTGCTGACGATGCCTCGGCATTGGTATCGGTCTGAGACGAAGGCGCCGGTTAAGGATAGGGCAAAGGCGACGGCGAATGGAGGAACAGACATGAGCTGAGCTCGGGCTGCGGTGTAGCCTAGGGATTGGACGATAGAGGGGGCAAAGCTAGGATTGTGATCCGTCAGAGAAGTTGATGGCGTTACGAAACGGGAGGCACTCACTAAGCTAAAGAATATAGAACTACTCCAGCCATGAAGAAGGTGAAGGCCAAGAACCAAACTTGAGGAAGCTTGAATGCTTCACCAACTTCACGCCATGTGAAATTCTCTTCCTCCTTGTGAACGTTGTCCTGGTGCAGCTTTGCGGATACATACTTCTTCTCCTCGCTGTTGAGGAACCAAGCCTTGTCAACAGAGCGAGGAAGAGTAAAGTACGAGGTTGCGCCAAAGACAACGGTGAAGAGACCTTCGAGAATGAAGATCCAGGACCAACCAGGACGGCCACCGACACCATCCATACGAATGATACCGTACGCCAGAATGCCTGAGAAAGCGCCCGACAGCGAAGCTGACGCAAAGAATCCTGCTACCCTAAAGTTGCATATCTTCAGCACGAGGAAGGCTGGGAGATTTCCGAAAGATACTTACCGAAGATTCATCTTGTACCGGGGGTAAAAATAGGATAGATAGAGCACGAGACCAGGGAACACGCCGCCTTCGAGTAGTCCGAGGAAGAATCGGGCAGCAAGAAGACCTGAATAGGATTTGACGACGCCTTGAAGTGTGGTGACCACGCCCCATAAAGTCAACATCGTAGGTAACATCAGGTTAGGTCCGACAGCCTATTGAAATTATACTGGTCAGCATGACGATAGAGTATACAGGTAAGTTATGCAACGTACCTTGAGCATCAGATTGGATGGGAGTTCCGCAAGGATGTAGGGAACGTATGTCACCGTGAGGGCGATACTGTATTCCTTGTTGGTCATCTTCAAGTCTTTCTGGAGTCCAGCAACTCGAGCATTTGCGACATTTGTTCGATCCTAGAACCAAAGGGTCAAAGAAGTTTCGTCAGCAAGTGAATTGGAGCAAAAAGGGCTGCGGACTTACCAAGAAAGAGAGCAGGTAAAACATGGCTACTATAGGTAGCACATACATGTCCAACTTTCTCCAAACCTTCTTCTCCATTACCGGGTCATGAACCTCCTCATCGCTGACCACCGACCCAGTGGACTCGAGAGGTCTTTTGTGCTCAGAGCTTTGAGTCGAACGGGTATCAGACATGATGGTGGTATCTTGCGAGAGAACGAGAGATTGGAGCCATTATGAAGAGCTTTTAAATATAGAGGAATCCATCTGCCGGTGCGCATGGGGTTTGCTGAAGCATCACATCAACACAAGTCGGTTCGCTTCCAGTTCGCCGGTCATCTCCGTTCGCCGATATCGATGTCACACATGTCACAGTCACACACTCGGCAAGTTTATCTCCACTCATTCTCCGCGGCTGCTAGCGCTCCAGCATTTCGCCTACCGGGTTCGCCCTTTCTGCGTCGCCTGCTGAACCCACTTTCATTTCACAAAAACATAGGCAAGGAAATGAAGATACCTGATATTGATCCGCCTTGAAGTCTCCGGCTCCTCTATTGCCCGGTTCAGCTTCTTGATACAGTAAAATGCGTTCCTGCTTCTCACATGGATGCGAGCCCTTCTTTCACTAGTTGCTATTCAGTAAAAGGCAGTTGATCCAAAAAAGCGTCGCCAGGAACGACCAGATACTCGTACCGCCGTCACGACGAATTTCAGGACCTCAGCAACGTTCAAAAGTCCAATGTGACAAGGGTGTGCTGGCAAACCGTTCTGGACTCTAGATTGCTCACCTCTATCGACGAATTTCCTCACATGATCCTGATATTCAGGGTCTAATGAATTGAACGTCTTTCAAGTGCCTTGCAAGAAAAAAAAGCGTCGTTCTCAGGACCTGAAAACTTCTCTCCTGTCGCCGACCCCTCGAACATTTTTTTCTGTTCCCACCCCTGGCTTGCTCCCGCTTAGAGCATGTATACCACTGTGTGCGCAGTCTTTCCGACATCGCACCTCTCACGACTGCAATAGACATCCAGATCCATCCATCATTTTGTCACCCGCCATGTTCACCCGTTGACGATCATCATCATCAAGCCACTCTACTTACATATCTACCTTCCAGCAATCCTTCAAAGTTCTTCATGCGGATCACATCAGAGATACCATATGCCCATCTTCTATTGAATTGGTAGCACAGCTATCTTTGCTGAATGCTCTCACGAACGTCTATGGAATGTCTATCGCTATGTGTCAGCATCGGTGTTTTACCGTCTCTGCAGATCACCCCATCGCATCGAGGAAGAAGATATCCCTCCCGAGCCAACGAACCGTCATGTTGGACAACACTTCTTTCAGGGTAGAAGTAAACTGTAACCTGTCTGATAGACGACTGATAGATCTATTGTTTTATGTACCCGCAAGTAACAACCTACCGCAAACCCACAAACGCAAACTTTTCAACGCTTCTTTCATGACCTTATCAAGCTCCCGCGCTTCAAGGACGTACTTAAGCGGGCTCTTTACAAGCATAACAACACCGAATCCCAGTTGAATGCCCACACCTACCACACTCACATCCACCTGTGTCGCGCTATCACTGGAATTCGCGTCCTTACCCCGGTTGACTCAGCCTAGGTCTGTCAACCGTAATGTGTCTTTTATCAGGCCCTCGATACTGACTTACTCTTGACTGATGATATCCATTTTACCTAGGCCGTCACCGTCACCGTCGCACCAACCATCTACCCAAACAAGGAAACGAAGCACCAAAGTTTCTGGATCTTTAGCTGAACCAGCTCGAGATTCGCGATGGTTGGAAGCGGACTGGGGAACGTTTGACGACCCTCAGTTGCCAAGCTTTTACATGCCAATGGCTAGGGTCATCAGTGGATGATGATCCTATTTCATGACCACGACTTCTCGTGGCCCATCCCCGAGGATACATACAATAGATTGAACCCATGAAACGATGATATAGAGTATGATTATCATATAGTGTACTAGAGATTGTACGACCACATGCATCATGATCCCCAAAGAATACGCGAATGTGTTAAAACGAGAACAAAAGATACTGCACGCGAAGATGAAGCAAGTAGGGATGTGAATGTGATAAGGTATATGGTATCAATGCAGGAAGAAAAACCAAAGCAAGATGGCAATAAGGCAAATGCACGAGATAACGAAAAGCAATGAGTGGTAATGCGATACAGGTACTATACAGCGACTTCTTAAGTCAGCAATCAAGGGATTCTACACTATGGTACATCTCCCATCTAACCAGCCAAGACAGAACAACGGCACGGACAACGAAGATAGATGAGGATCGAGATAGCAATACACAGACAGCAAAAGAAACAGATGCGGACACACCTCAAGTACATATCACGAAGGTGAAGGTGGTACATGACTCGAGATGGTCGTTTCCGTCGCAGTAGACGTCCTCCCGAGAGCCGGTATAGGCACAGTCAACGCAGCTTCAGATGGTACTGCATGCATCGAAACCTTGACGCCACTTTTCGAGCCAAGCTCCGGTGTATTGGGAGTATCTTGGCCAACCGGATACTCAACGATCTCCTCATCCCCGGCTGGAGTCTCCTTGACATCATCGTCGAATTCCTCGGCGGGATTGGCAATGACATGTCGGGGACGTGTACGTGAGTGGGCTCGTGAAGGGCGGTAAGTAGATTCCAGTTCGAACGTGCCCGACTAGACGGATAGAAAACATTAGTATCAGCACATCACAAAGGGAACTTTGAGACTCACCTGACCGGTCACACCAGCGAACGACATCTCCCCATTGGTCATGGTCGTCGAGCCCCACCCAAATCCTCGGAATTCACCTCCCCTCGAATCTCTACGAAACCTCGGACGACTAGTGCTGGTCTCGTCATCACTCCACTGATTGGTACCGAAAAGCACGTTATGGTCGTCTGTACCTGCCAGCGAATTCCATCCGGCTCGTGCATTCAAGGTTGATAACAGTGCATTCGTGTACAGTTTCGACAAGGCGAAATCCCATATGAAGTTGATGGTCGTGCGCTAACAATAGGTTTTGAGTACCCGCGTGGACTCGGTGAACGTGTGTAACGTGCCGTACCGGAACAGTCAGGAAACATATCACGTCCAGGAGAGCGAATACTGCGGTGACAAGGCCGGTCTGGACAGTTACTGGAGCCGAAACTTTATCACTACGTGTTCCGAGATGAGATGGGGTCTCACTTACATCGAATGATACGGTTGATGCTGTCGTCTGTGCTTTTGAACCCCGTTTTTCGTCTTGTCTGCGAGAGCTTTGTTAGCCGCTGCCAGAGAGTAGAATGGAGGGACATACTAGACTCCAGTACAGACTGGATGTGATC